GCTTTACCTCATTGCAATTGGCCCTCCTTGGCACCAGTCTTTATTCTTCCTAGAGTACCAGACAACCAAAAAGTGAAAGTGTTTTGGTACCCTGTGTGACCAAATATTTATGCATCATAAAGGAAAAAAAACATGTGTAAACCTCATCCCGATCCGTTCTAGTGCTCCCTCCCCTCTCCACTTGACTCAGCATTCGTTTTCCTCATAAATCATACTTTGGTGAATGGGAAAATAATTTATAGATTAAATTTAATATTATCTGTTAGCATTCTCAAATTATGATATTATATTTAATTAGCCTTCAATATGGAACATGTCGCTTTGTAAGTGGATCCAACCTACATAATTTGTAGATTTTTTAATACTAGAAATTGTGCACCAACATAGAAGTAAATGAAAAGCCCACTGTTGTTGGGTTTATTCTGAGATATAGTGACCTTGTGGGAAAAAGTAGAACTGTCCTTAGCATTTTGCAGACTGTAAATCTTTATGGGAATAGACAGTCCCATCGTTCTCTCACAGGAGCTTTGAACCCCCAGCATTGTGTTTGGCAGCCCAATATTGAACCCACTGACATTGCTCTCAGAGCTCCTTAAAGTAAAGAGAAGTATCTTTTTTTATTCAATACATTCTAGGGTCAAGTCACTTTGTAGAGAGTATCTAGTTAATCCCAAGAACTACTTGAGGAGATAATTTTATTATCCCAGCTACCTGTGGTTAGAGTTGCATTTTGAAATGGTTGTCTGTTTTGTTTAGGAGACAAGGTTAGTAGAGAATGTGGTTTTGAGCCTATCTTGTAAAATATGAAAGGAACAGAGTAGGCGAGCAGACGGGGAAAGGTACGTGCCACGTGGACATCGCTAAGGCACAAGGAAACAAGTTAGAGACAAGGACCTTTCTTTAAAATGGAGAGTAAAACCCTTCCCTTGAAGTCAGTGTCCATCATTCAAACATCTAAACTATGAAAAAAATAATTTTTGGCTTCTTAAAACCATCTATTTGTGGTATTTTGGTTCTGTCAGTAAGAGACCATGAGGACAGGTGGTAAACGGGAGTAGGGAGTCAGAATACACACGTCCAGTGGCATGCCCAATATAAGCTCTGGCGGCTTTACTTCGAACTGGTGGCATTATTGGGTCAGCATGGGACTGTTAACTGCAAGGTCAATGGTTCAAACCCACCAGCTGCTCCTCAGGAGAAAGCTACGGCTACCTACTCCCATAAAAATTTACAACTTTGAAAACCCTATATATAGGGTTTGTAGAATTGCAATCAACTCAGTGACAATGGATTTGGTTTTGCTTTGGGTCTGAAAACCTTGAAAATTTTAAGTAGAGGTACAGGGTGCTTTTACTTAGGCTTTAAAGGGCCACTCTGGCTGCCATGTCTTGTGGGCACTATAGAAACAGGGAGAGAAGTTGGAGGCTTTCACAAACTATGGTCATGACCAGAATTAGGGAACTTGAGCAGGTGTTGATAAATGGTTCAGCTACATATATAATCGAAAGTAGATCAGACGGAATATGATGTGCATTACATTAATTTATTCATTCAACAAATACTTATTGAGGTCAAGATGACACCAGGTTTTAGAATCATAACAGATGTTCCTGTGAAACAAAATAATGGAGTTTCTGTTTGCTAGATGACAATGACTTCTATGTTTATTTCACATTTCCTTATTGTGTTATTATAGAATGAAAGGACATTTGTGAGAATAACTTTTCTTTCTTTGGCATTATGATTTTAAGGTTACTTTCCAGTTAAGCTTTGAAACATTGACAAAATTTGTTCCAAAAGCATTCGTAATTTATATGGATTTTGTTTTTAAAAAAAGAAGGAAATATTAGTTCTCAGTTGTGGGAGGTATTTTATGAACATTTGGTTTTTAACATATTCCATATTTTTGTTTTGTTTTTGTTTATTCATCTTAGGGTGTATCTCAGAGATGTTATGTCATTGGAGGCCACCCACTTGAAGATGTATTACAGATTTTTCTGTCTTGGCATATGAAACCCAGGACTGAGGAACTGATAAGGACAGGAATTAGAATAAGAGATTTTTGTGGGGTGGGGGTTCAAGGCTGGTGGGGGGGCAAAAGAGAGACGATGTCAAGGAGTTCAGGAAGAAAAAGAGTGTTTGGAAACTGATTATGGTAGCAATTGTACAATTCTGTTTGCTGTGATTAAACTATGCAATGATATGCTATATCTATTAGCACCCAACAAATAATAAATAAATACATGAATAAATAAATTAATTAAAATAAATAAAATCTAGGGAAACAACTTGCTTTTTGTAGCAACCAGTTATAATCTTGCTAATAAGATAGCTGTCATTAGACAAGCAGTAAAAACTCTTGTGTGATTTCGAGACAAATTGCAATTAAAATGTTTAGATTATAGAATTTTCCACTCAGAATTTCCAAAATAACAAGTACTTTTCGTTATTATTTTCCTTTTCCCATTAACTATTCTATTAATGATGAAGTTGTGTTAGGCTCTACAGGAAATTAAAGGCAAGAAGTAATATCAGAATAAAGACAATAATGAGTAAGGCTTGTCATTTGGATAATTGAATCCAATTTCAGCAAAATTAAATAAAAGAGGCAAAAAGTGAAGAATGACAACAAGAAAAATAAACAATAAAATATATTAAAATCCCTAAGACAGAATCATCAGTTCTTGTTGGGACCATGGGACACAAGGGCTATAGACTATCTGGAAAGACTTTGTGAAGATACTGACTTTTGGCAAATCTTACACAATTAAGATTTCCTTAAGTAGGAGGTGTGATATAAGGATGTACATCTTCCAGTATTACTTGTACTATAATACTTAAGAGGAGAGAAGTCGAGATCAAATAAAACTAAACTAACAAATGAAAATTCTCTGTCTAAAAAGTAGGCTGAGTGGAAGGGTGTTGTTGGCTGTCTGTAAGTTGGTTGTGACTCGGAGACAGTATGTACAACTGAAGGAAGAGACTGCAAGAGTCCTGACGCAGCTTCACTCACAGTTGCTATTATTTCTTCCCATTGTTGGGGCTGCTATGTCAATCTGTCTCATGGAGGGGTTTCTTCTTCTTTTTGCTAAACCTCTACTTTACTTAGAATGAGGTCCTAACGGGTCCCTCCTGATACGATGTCTGTGTATAGGCGAGTAAGTCTACCCATCCTCTTTGCTAGGGAGTGTTATGGCTGGACATTCTTGTTTGTTTGTTCTTCTGTTTTATATTTAATGATGTTCACCAACATCATAATTCAAATTATTTCTCAGTCTTCCTTATACATTTTGTATGCATATGAAGTTATTGAAATAACATGAATTGGTGAGGCACACTTTAGTCCTTGAAATGATTTTTCTCTTTAACAATTTAAAGAGATATTATAAAGCAGAATTGCCTAATGCAATTCATTGTTTGCTTTCTTGACTGCTACTTCCATAAGCATTAACTGAATTCAAGGCTTGAAGTGTTTTCTTCAGTCTTTCAGTCTGAGGAATACCAACCACGTACCTCCCCTTTGGTTTCTAACTCTAGGTCATTTCATTATAATACTTTAATCTGTCTTCTTGAACTGCCCTCTGAAATCTGTTCAGCTTTTATTTCACCATGTCTTCCATGGATAGACTGGAGAAGAATGGGAATTCCAGAGCACTCTCTTGATCTCATGAAGAACAAGAGGCAGTTGTGTAGGAAGAACCAGGGATCCTGCATGCTTTAACATCAGGAAGGTGTGCATTGCAGTGCTGTTCTCTTACCATACTTACTCAGTTTACACACTGAGCAAATAATAAGAGAGGCTGCATTATGTGCAGAAGAACGAGGCATCACGATTGGAGTAAGACTTATTAACAACAAATAACTATTGAAAGAATGGAATTTATCTCAGCTAAGGACAGAGGAGGAAGAATTAACAAGCATCAACTTTGGAATCATATCCAGCTGTGTTTCAATTGTAGACGTTTGTCTTATTGGTTTATTGGCTTTGACAAGCTATACTTAGTTCTCACACACTTCCGTTTTTTATTATTAAATATAGATAAGAATCATACCTACTAAGTAGAGTTCTTATAAGAACTTAACGTTATTATCCATGTAAAGTATGATTTACAGTTTGTACCCCATACATGTTATTCATTATTCAGTGTTAGCTGTTATTAATCATGTATTAATCAATCAATTCTTATGGAATCAGCAGTCAAGAGATCAAATAACACATTGCACTGGGTAAATCTGCTAACAAGACCTTTTTAAAATGTTGAAAAGTACGTGACTTACTTTGAAGGCTAAAGTGTGCCTGACACAAGCCCTGGTATTTTCAGTTGCCTCCTAGCCACGTGAAAGCTGGCCATTGAATAAGGAAGACCAAAGACAAGTCGGTGCATTTAAATTAAGGTGCTGGAGAAGAAGAATTTTTTAAATGCTCTTAGAGGCAAGGGTGGGTGACTTCATATCACATACTTTGGACATGTTAAAAGAGACCAGTTCCTAGAGAAGAATATCATACATGGCCAAGTAGAGGGACGGCAAAAAAGAGGAAGGCTTCAACAAGATGAATTGGCACAGTGACTATAACTGTGAGTTCAAATATAATAACTGTTGTGAGGATGGTGCAGGACCAGGGAGTGATTAGCTCTGTTGAAGGTGGGTCTTTATGCGTCAGAACAGACTTGATGGCCCCTAAAAACAACACCTATTAATCACACCCCCAAACACAGTAACTTATACCATCTTAATTTCTACTCTGTTAAATCTTGGTGCTACTATGTATACAGGTATCACATCTGTTATAACAAATTGTAAGTATTACTAATTAAATAATAACATATATGCAGTTATAAACAAATTGACCATCTATTTTTTTTCTTTTCAATAGTCAAATGTTTGAAGTTCAAAGGCCTACATATTGGTCTTTTCATGTTTAATGGGCACTAACATACTCAATAAAATGTCTCTCTTGATAATTTTGAAAAGATATAACTTGCTCTTTCTTTTTCTAGGCCTAGGAAAAGATCAAGATTACATGGATGATTCAGAGCCTGCTCATTATGACCGGTCTCGGCTCATTAGAGACTCTGTTCTCAAAGATAAGTCTGCACTCAAACCAAAGTCATTGTCTAAGGTAATTAAAACTACGCTACCAATAAGTTATTTTATAGACTGGAACTTGTAAAGTTTTTCCGTTCTTTGGAATATTCAGCTACATAATTGCCTTTGTTCTGGAGTACATACATTAACAGGTTCAAATACCTATTAAAAAATTCAAAAGTGAAGTTTTGTGAAGACAACACATTTATTCACATATTCCAACAGAAATGTCAAAAACCTTAATCTAAAAAGTAAACATTTTCAGTGACATATTCCTTTGAGGTTTGTCTCACATTTGCATTCTTTTCAAGGTATCATGGTTTACTGAGAATCTGCATTTTGGGATCAAATAGATTTGGATCTGAAATCCAGTTCCACAACTTACTAGGTGGGAAAGATTGCGTGAATTAATTAAACCTTCTCTGTGTCCTGATTTCCTCATCTTTCAAATTTGATCCATGGTTTTTCTACCTGGTAGCATTTTTTTGAAGATTAGATGAGATGACCATGTAAAAAGATATGGTTCAATGTAAATATCTGATCATATAGCACAGATTTATATTTTGAAGTTTGAGAATATCTCACTGAAATTGTAGTTTTGCAGTATATAAATAATTGTATGAAGAATGAAGTTTTATAAACTTTGAGGCCCAAGAATACCAGTATCTCTCAAATCAAATAAATGTGGTTGTGGACTCTTCAGAGATCCACAGGTGATCGTGCAACAGCTGGTGCCACAAGGATACTGCTTCCTTTCGCCATTACATGTGTAAAGGCGGCACCCTCTCCTTTGGATAATTTTCTAGACAAATCCTGGATCATCCTGATCTCACTTTTCTCTTCCTTTTGCCCTTTGGCTTAAAGTGGGGAATTATTTTGTAAAAATACATTTGCATAATAAGTACCCTAAGGAGCACAATCTAGAAAATAAAGATTAAAGAGGCATGTTTTCTGTTCATCTCTGCTCTAGGCAGGGACACAGCTGGGTTGAAAAAATAGATCTCTAACTATAGAATCCTTTGCTTTTATACCTCCTATCCAAGTTAACTAAAGAAAGTATACTAACATATTCTAGAATAGTAAAATTTACTAAACTCACTGACATCAAGTCAATGCTGACTCATAGCTGACTCGTGTGGGTTTCCTAGACTGTAACGGTTTACAGGAGTAGAAAGCCCAGTCTTTTTCCCATGAATATACTGATGGTTTTGAACTGCTGACCATGAAGGTTGCAGTTCAATGCATAACCAGGGCTCCACCACCAGGGATCCCCCTTAAGTTCTAAATGTCAAGTTGTCTTGATTGTTTAAGCTAAAGTGTTTTATGTATATTTAGCTAAATTAGCTTTCCACCCTTCCCTTTACTTAATATAATTCTTGAGAGGTTAACTCTAGGTAGGGAAATGAAATGATAGATTTGGCGTATTAGCCATACATGACAATTTAACTACAAACTTATATCCAGAAATAAAATGTCATCTACTCTTTCAGGAGAGAAATGTTTTAAGTGATCATTTCGATTAAAATTTTATATATATATATATATATATATGCTAAATAAATATGTGGCTAGCTGCTACTCTATTGGACAGTAAAGATACAAAGGTATAGAATATTTTCATCATAGAAGGGGGTCTTTTGGATAAGTCAGAGTGCAGTAATCTGTGTGTGTGTGCGTGTGTGGTGGGCGGCATAACTGACCTCCTTCAGCTTCCCCAAGGCCAAGAGGCAGGAATCAGACAAGCCTCCGCAATTTCATCCTTCTTTACCTACTCGGACACCAACTCCTCCTTCTACGGCCCTCCACGTCTGTATTGGGTTCAGTAATTCATGTGCATAGCATTCTATATGTGGATATAATTTGTGATAGTACTCACAACGTGGGCGTTTGTTAGGGTCATCGGTTATCAGAAGCCAGGAGCAGTAAACAATATACAGTCATTGGTCCACAGCAAGAGCCCTCTGCAGCCAGCAGCCGAGTCTCTCTCAGGGCTTTGCCAGCCACATGGTCTCTTGGCTTTGCCTCTTGCATCAGGAAGTCCACCTGTTGCTCTGTGTCTCAGTCCCGTAGTCTCGGTGCAGTTCCCCTGGATCTGCTCCACAGTCTCCATGCCACAGTCGGTGCTTCTGGTGTTGGCCTTTGCATGTCAGACACTTCTGATGGTACTAGGCTTTCTCGCTGTGGTGCTACATCAAAGATGGCTCATCCTTATAGCCAGGGTAATGGGGTAATGAAAATTGACCAATCTCCTCAATTAGTGTTACGCATACCTTATTTGCCTAGTCCCACGTAATCATTTGGTGGCAGTTACCAAATGGTTAATTTTGAGAAATGGGTCAGAGGGCCCCATTAAGAAATTTCACTCCACACACACTGGGGCAGGAGTTTGATTGAATTGCCTAACAGCTCATTGCTAATATTTCCTAGATGCAGGACATAAAACCAAGATATCTGATTCCAAGCCCTGTCTCCTCCTCCTTCTCTTCTTTCTCTTTCTTTCTGTAGTCAGGCTGCCCACATGTATGTTATGTTATTTTCTTAATGATTATACTACAGGGAAAAAACAAAAAACAAACCAAAAAATCCTGTGTTTTGCTCCTTGGGAAGTCATTCTAGTACTAGAATTAAGAAACAAAATGTAGATGTTTTCTCTCTTCTGGTACTAATGGCTTGGTAAGAAGATACATAAAAAGTTTTGATAATCATCAACTTATTTCTTTCTCCAGTGAGTACTTAAGAGCTGTTCTTGGAAGATAGATCTCTTAAGTCTCCCTAGAGGGTATAAGCTTGGAAATGAGACATTGGCTAAGTGTTCTGCAGAAATTTTACTAAGCTTTATGGGATGTGAAACTAAATTTAATAGATTATTTTGTTAGTGTACCAGTTAAATGATTGAGATAATGGTTCTAATTGATATTTACGTATGAAGATTAATGATACACTCACATCAAACATAGTCTCTAATCGCTTAATAATGAAGACAACCAAAAGTGAGATAAGAAACGATGTGAACGTCATTCTAAGCTATTTGAGCACATCTCAACAATGAATCTATCTTCCCACCTCCAAGCTCCACAGGTTTTGTGTGTGTAGCAGAAGGAACACTGTATTTATACTTGATCCTAGCCCAAAGTCCAAGAAGCGATGGGAACACTGTATTTAAAGTTGGACTGTGATTAATGATAATAAAAATTATGTTAAAAGCTAACAATTACTAAACATTTTTTATAGCTTTTAACTGTTAATATCTCCAAAAATAAGAGTTTATTTTATCCCTATTTGGTAAGTAAACAACTGAAGGTTCAGAGAAGCTAATCTGTTATCATGTGACTGGGTAAGTAGTGATCAGACCCTGTGATACACTGAACATCATAAAGGCCTGGGCAAGGGGCTCAAGTAGCTACGAGACAGGAATGTGGGGGATTCAGAGAACATGTGACCAATTTTGGAAAATGATCATGGAGCATTAGGGGACAGTAGCTAGTGCTTTGCTTGATATTTTGTACATTACAAGACAATAAAAGTGATGCTGCAGTGCTCAGAAGGAGAGAAACTGTGCAGGAGCTTGCCCTTTCTTACTTTATATATAGCCCTCCCTTCCCTGAATCCTCCTGCTCCATTCACAATGGCCTGCAGATTTAAAATGCATATATATTGTTGTGCTTAAAACACATACTAAAACATTGAGAATACAATAAGGTCTCTATTTACAATAAATGACATTGATTACATTTTTGTGCTGTGTCACCCTTCTTGCTGTCTTTTACCCAAATATCCTATCCTATTATGCAATGTCCCCTGATAAAGACTACAGCCTTTACTCCTCCCACCTCTCCCTTGGCAACCTTTAATAAGAATGTGGCATCCGGATAGGAGAAAGGCTTATGAATAAGCTTATGCAATATGCAGTTGACACAACTTTGCTTGATGAAAGCAAGAATGCGGAGCATTTGCTGATGAAGATCAAGGAATGTACCTTTCAGTGTACATTACAACTCAATGTAAAGAAGACCCAAATCCTCAGAACTGGACCCATAGGTAACCTCATGAGAAATGGAGAAAAGTTTGAAATTGTCAAGGATTTGGTTTTGCTTGGATGTACAATCAAGCTACCAAGTGACCAAAATATTTGCTACATTAGAAAACTGTGCTGCATAAGACCTCTTTAGTGCATTGAAAGGAAGGATGGCACTTTGAGGACTAGCGTGTGCTTGACTTAAGCTATGGTATTTCAGTTGTCTCCTATGCATGTGAAAGGGGGCCATGGAATAAAGAATTGATGCATCTGAATTGGCCTGCTGGAAAGGAGTGTTGGGAGAATTGGACGAGGGCAAGGGATCCTTGGAGTGGATGGTGAAGACGGGGTGGGGGGGGAGGGCACTAGAATGGATTGTGAGTGCATAACTCATCTTGAAGGCAATTTAACCATGGGCGGGAATGATCTAAAAAAATGACGTGGGGGTGATTGTACAATTCTCCTTGATATTATTGAATGATTGAAGTATTGAATTATATCATATGTAAATTACTTGCCAATAAAACCGTTGGGGTATAAAAAAGGAAGTGCCAAGGGTGGCGAAAAGACAATATGGCCAGCGTGTTTGACATGCTTTTGACATGCTGTCAGGAGCGAGCAGTCCCGGGAGAAGGACAGCATGTTTGTACAGTGGCAGCGCAGGGAAGGAAAGGACGAGCCTCGCGGAGATGGGCTGACACCTTGGCTGCAACCGTGGGCGCAGGCATGAGAATCACTGTGAGGGGGGTGCAGGACAAGGCATAGTTTTTTCTGTGGTACATAAGGCTGCTGTTGGTTAGGGTGGACTCAATGGCACCTAGCAGCAACAGCAAAGCAATCATCTTTGGTTTCGATATATTTGCTTGTTTTATCTAATTGAGGACCTTCGGTGTTTTCCTATTGTGGTTGACTTATTTTGTTCAGCTTCACATTTTCAAATTCCATCCATGTGGTAGCTAGCATGCTTCAGAGCTTTATTTCTCTTGACAGCTGTGTACTATTCCATGATGTCCACCTAT